ATATAAATTTTTTTATTTTTTTTTTAAATTTATTTTACATGTGTCCACGCACAAATTGAAGTATGTCCATGGTGTTGTTTTGGCCAAGTATTCCATTTTCTATTTACACCCAAACTCGTATTTTTCAGATATGCACAAGCCGGCAATATTAATAGCTAGATTTGTTTAGTTTAGTATTTTCTTTTTTCCTCCACGTGTATGAAGAAATTTGATATATTTCTTCTCTTCATTCCCAACAGGTGTGAAGTCTTTCCTGGAGCGCTTTGGAGAGAGGTGCCAGGAGCGCAGCACCAACCAGAGCTCCCCAGCTGGGGGTGCTGCCCAGTGCAAGACTCCCACTGTAACTCCACCATCCGTCACACCAAACACCAGACTGGTGCAGGAGAGGCTCAGAGCCGCCCGAGCTGCAAACACAACCACTGCTGATCTCACCCAAAGACAGAAGCAGGTCAATGAATGTTACAGATACTACGGTGTATCCTCTTATTGTTGCAGTCATTCTGTTTGATATCACGATATTAACATTTTATTTTTTTTAAACTAATTTCAGGAGCGAGAGTCTGAGCTGGCTCAGATTCGGAATCGCTTTCAGAAGGGGAACAACAATATGTGGAAAAATAATGAGGAAGCAGCAACAGCCAATAAAAACACAGGCATCAAGGTTGGCCAATAAGCATCTGACACACAAATCTCACAATATAGTCATGCTTTCATAGAAAATGCAAGATTATATTTAATATTTTTAGGAACAGCTTGACAAACCCGTGGAGGCTGAAGTTCCCCGATGTGAGCCTCGGGATGAACCCTCAGCACCTTCTTCTGAGAGTATAGACACAACCACGAAGTGCCCTCCTCCAGGTATTCAACATTTCATATTTATGTTTGGACATTTCTATTTGTTTGTGTCCAGATGTTTCAGTGATCAGTTACTAGCATTGGCAGTTGTTCTTTCATCCATTAGGGCTCTCATTAAAGCTGCAAGCTGTGCCTCACGTAAAAAGTTGGGATTCACCGTCATTATGTGTGTGTTCCCGAGTTTTTATTAATCCAGGGTTGAGCAAAGAGCTGTGTATTACCAAACCTCTTAAACTCTGTGTTTAGTCTTAAAGTTGTTAATTACATTTTTAAATGGTTGCTTTCACTGTCGCAGGAAATTTAAGACTTTACTAGTTTTGGTCGAGGTGTTCAGTGTAATGTTTTCTAACTAAGATTGTGTGAAATATCAGGTCCTGTGTTGATGCTCTCGCCTCCCACATCAACATCCAGTCCTCTGAGGGTGGTCGACCATACTGTAGAGAAAACAACTGATGAAACCACAGAAGAAGACGAGGAGGTGGTCAGGGAGATAGAGATGAATGTGGACCGGTCCATCAACTCTGCTGTTATCAACGAGCTGTTTGATAGAGCCCTGGACCAGAGTGATGATGAGGATGGGGAGGAAGATGCTTTGAATATCTCCTCCATGTCCCTCCTCACTCCACTGGCAGAGGTGGTGAAGAGTCCAGAGAGACGAATGATGGTAGGCCCTAACGTGATGTCTCCCTCTACCACTTGCATCTACTTCCTGTTTGAGTAAACGTGAGGCAAATTAGATGGGCAACCTCTTAACAAAAACATTTTCTTCATGTTGTCTGTGCAGACGTCAACTCCAGCCAGCTCGTTCCTCGTGAAGAGCAACACTCCAGGCAATGTTTCCAAACCCAGCAAGTTCCAGAGAACCAACATAGTACGGACTGCCTCCTCAGAGGCGTTAGACGAGGACCACAAACTGCCATATAGGTAAGTGCTCCCGTTTAATGTCACTTGGATGGATTGAAGTCGGCTGTCGTCGTCGTCGTTTGCAGGAAATCTCATCCGCTTGTGTTCTGTGTGTGCTAGCATCGATGCATACAGGTCCATCCGGGTGAAAGAGACCGAGAGACCAACCGTGAAACAGGTGATCGTGAGAAAAGAGGACGTTTCTCACAGAGCGGAGGAACCAAGAGGATCCAGTCTCTCCAGTATCAAACAGAAGATGAAGGTTTGGAATAAATACTGTGAACTTTGATTCATGCCAGATGTTGTTCCCTGCAGCACACTTACAGTATGAGTGTTACGTTTTCATGTGGACCTGATTTGAAGTACATGTTATCGTTCACCATACGGAAGGCAAACATATCTAACACTCCATTGTGTTTCTTTAGATTCTGACAAATGAGGTGAACCTGCAGCAGACAGTCATTCATCAGGCCAGTCAGGCACTGAATTGCTGCACGGATGAAGAGCATGGCAGAGGATCCCAGGTGGAGGCTGAGGCAGAGAGGCTGCTGCTGGTGGCAAGTGAGTCGATCCAGACAACAAATTAATTGGGGTCTTATACTTAACCCTTGTGCCTCACTAAGGACATATTTTCGGGGAACTTTGCATTTAGTATACAGGAGACAATTACATTTTTGTATGGAAAATAACATTTATAATTTTATGGCAGTTTTTTGGACTTCAGAGCAATTTTTTTTAAAGTAAGGCGCAAGGCACTAACAAATTTAATTTTGAATGTGAAAAGATAATTCAACACACGTGAGCATATCAGAGACCATGCAAGTGTAGAAAAATAAAGAAAGCTACCACTCAAAGTGTTATATGCAATGCAAGATACATTCATGCTGCCACTTCTAGCCCGTGTGTAAACCCGGCTTACAGACATCTGCCTTTTATAAATGATAAAACCACAATACAACATAACCACTATAGCCCATCAGCCCCTATCTTTAGGATTCAGTAGTATCAACGCTTGACTTTCTGTCCTTTTGACTTTCTTAGCGGAGAGGAGGGAGGCGTTGAAGGCAGAGCTGGACCGTCTGAAAGGAGACCCAAAGGGCCATAAGAAGGCCTCTGCAGCCCCAGAACCTTCTAGCATGTCTGCCTCCAGGGGCTCCATCACCCTGCAGGAGTTGCGCCTGCCTCTCAAGGCAGACTTTGTTTGCTCCATTGCCAACAAGCCAGGTAGGCTCAAAATGCAGTTCAGTAGTTTAAAGCAACACTCCACTGTTGTTCAACTTTCTCTCCAGACATCACGGCCCTGATTTAGAAAGCAGGTTTAACAAACAGATTTTTTCTGAAACGGGGCCCAGTTGTCACTAATGCTCAATATTGTAAATCGCCCGTTGTGTCTTAAATGTGGGCTTTGAATTGATGCTGATGATATTCATGTTCAGAATCAAAGTAGCCATTTACTTGATTCCTGGTCATACCGTCTAGAGTTGTGTTTTGGAGTCTATTTATATATTTGGTCTCAGTCACTATCTGAGTATTTGTCATACTGATGGTTGTCAATATTTTTCTATCTTGATTATTTCAGAGTCGGCCAAACATTCGTTCTTCTTGATGATTCGTGCGGGAGCAGAGCACACTGTAGCCACACCTTTAGCCAGCACCCACCAGGGCCTGAGAGGGGACACCCTGGCTTTCCCCACCAAGTTCACCATGTAAGCCCTGCACTCCTGCTCATATGAAACAACATCATTTTATAACAAATGAGTATTATTTGATTGTGATTCAGATGCAGTCAAAAAAAACGTTTGTTCTCTCGCTTACCGAACACGCATCATGAGGAGGCACTGACGAGTCATATTCATCAAAGAAAGATCATTAAATAACAAAAAAGACGAACTGATTTAATCCGATGAATCACTTTATTCAAATTGAGGATTTTGTTCGAGGGTTTTTAATTTTTCCGTAAGGTGATTTCGTCATAAAATGTGACGACAGAGATTCAAAGCTTCATTCCAAAACCTCAACAGAAGCTAACGTAAAAAAACACGACATTCGGTACAGCTCCAGATTCCGACACATGAAATGTAACCACTTCCTGTTGAACAGATCTTATACTGGTGTACTCATGTTGATCTTAATTGTCCCTCTTCTTCCTCACTTTCAGATCTGACGTCTCCAGTGACTTTGATATTGCTGTTGAGGTCTATTGCTTGGTGAGTGTCCTACATCAGGGTTTACAGAGGGCAGAATAATGAGGCTGTGACCACATATCCACTATATTTACTGGGCTTCAGTTGCTTTTACTTTTCTCCCCCTCCACATCAAAGATGTATTATTGAGCCGCAATCTAGAGTTACTGACATCTGATCCATTATGATCTTGTGTATTAACTCGTGACGTCTTCAGGTGCAGAAGCGTGACGCCTGCAGTGACAAGAAGAAGAAACCCAGCAAGTCAAAGGTAAATCCTTAATTTGCTTCTTCTTTTTTTACCAAATGGAAAATACGTGAGCAGTCAATCATGGCGCTTTCGTTAATACTTAAAGTGTGTGTCCAGATAATATGGAGAGAGGTTCATGAGGCCCATTATATGTGTATGTCGGTATGAACAGTTTCTGTATTAAATCCCTCACATGTTGGTGGGTGTGCACTGTGTGGGCCGAGTCTGAAGAAAGTCACTGTTTCTCTGCACAGCTTCAGGTGGTCGTTTCGTGTGGGGGAGAGAAATGTTAACGGACATCTCCCTCCAGACAAATTACTGTCGCTCCCAAAAAATACTTTTTAATTATTTGCTTTACTTCTATCTGTCCAGGCGATCACGCCAAAGAGATTCCTCGCCATCACTGTAAGTATTTCAGATGTATTTTCTATAATTATATATCAGAATGTAACTTCTCATCTGCCCGATGTTTGTATTTTAATTTGCTGGTTTCATCTCTTGTCTTGCAGAAAAGTGTCCACACACCAGGTAGGTCAAAAAAACATTAAATCTAAAACTATTTGTTCTGTTGAGTGAAATGTATTCAACGCCTTTTGCATCTCATGCATCTCACTTTTTAATGATGTCGTTCTTTCTGTGTGTAGTTGTGGCCAGTCCAGGAGGCCCCAATGCTGTTCGCACCAGTAACTTCGTCCTGGTCGGATCACACAAGCTCACCCTGGCCTCTACCGGGACAAACAAATTTCCTTTGGAGAAGGTATAGAAACTATTAATGTCACCCTTTTTTTTTTTTTAATAATGTCCAAGTGTCCCTTTTTTCCACATTCTCCCTTTTAGAGCACTTACGTTTTCTTCTATTCTCTGCATTTCGTATGCGACGGGCCTTAGTCTGAAGGCACAGTGTCCATGCTGTATGTGTGATGCCCACACGAGGCTCACTTGGATCGTAGTCGCATCTTTACGTCAGGCCTCACAGAGACTCTCAGTGACTGTGTTTGTTCTCCCTCTGCACCCGTTCATCTCCCTTAATATCTTTCTTTTAGATCGTATATGAAGGAAGTGAAAGAGAACTACTCAGTGACATGTTTCATACCAAGGTTACTACTTGCCCTGTTTTTTGTTCTGTTTGTGTGGGAAGGACGGTGAACACACGATAACGAGGAATACGTTTAACTGCATTGTGACACTAACATTTGTTTTTATTGCCTTTGGTCACTGTCTATGATTTTTAACCATCTTTGAGACATCGTAACCTTTATTTATTTTGTTTAACCCCGTCTTGTGACGTTAAGCATTACATGAATGGTGACCATGGTCTCTGAGCTTTTAATGAAGCGTCTGTACTCTTGCCTCAAGGTGCCATTCTTGTGCCCTCTGGAGGGCCACATCTACCTCAAGATGCAGTGTGAAGTTGGCTCCAAAGTGGAGGAGAAGGGCTTCCTGGTGAGCGCAGGCCGATCAAATCATCGCCACAGATTAACTAACGCCGAGGCTGGTATTGATCTGCTATGTCACAATACAAATATGTTGTAATTTGAATTGCCCTCTCCTCTAGACGATGTTTGAAGATGTGAGTGGATTTGGAGCGTGGCACAGGAGGTGGTGTGTCCTGTCGGGATACTGCATCTCCTACTGGACCTACCCAGACGATGAGAAGCGCAAGGTAACTGAGCACTTCGACAGCGAAACGCTCTTTATTGAGCTCCTTTATTTTACGTCGGTGGTTCCTGTTTTTTGTGTGTATAGATATTAGTTAACATTGAAAGAAATATGTACTGTATTTCAACCCTGGCATATGTGGCATATATCAGGGAAAGCTGTGTGAGCCTCCCACAGCTTTACAAATAAACATGTTTTATTGAGTGAAAAGATCTTGTGGCTGTCTGCAACTTGCACACTGGTGTGTTTTCATGAGGCTGTGGATTGCTGTCCATTGAGCGTGTGTTTACGCTAGAGAAGTGGCAAATGAAAAGATACACACCGTGCCATTAGACCCAAACACTTGCATCAGGGAACTCTTAAGACATCACATGTTAGTCAACTTTTACAATTGTTACTTTTTCTCAGATGCCATTTGATAATGTTGTATCATTTTAGGTCAAATGAAATGCCCAAGTGTTAGTGTTTATCGCTAGTTAACATATCACCAGAGCGGAGGGTTTGGTCCAGCCTTGATATTCTCTTCCAGTTGATTTAAGAAAGTAAAACAGTCTCCACGAGGTCAATGCTCAAGATAGGTCTATCTTCTTAAAAGTGTGTCGCCTGTAGCCGTCTCCTGGTGACATGAGGTCAAATCTGAATTAATATATATGATATAAATGTTGCGTTTGTCTTAAACACCTCGTTTGTTTTCTTTCTTTCTTTCTTCTGTCAGAATCCCATCGGCCGCATCAGCCTGGCTAACTGCACCAGCAATAAGGTGGAACCAGCCAACCGGGAGTTCTGTGCCAGACCCCACACATTTGAGCTCATCACAGTCAGACCACGAAGAGAGGATGACAAAGAAACACTAGTCAGCCAGTGCCAGAACACCATGTGTGTCACCAAGTAAGTTGCTACCATTGTCATCAGGGCTGCACCACATTGGAAAGTAGGCTTCATTTTAAAGTCGAATGCATCGGTCTGTTTCAAAGTTAAGAAGCGAGATAAACGATGTTTAGCTCACATCCGTTACAACGTCCTCGTCAAAGAACTATTCCACTTTATTAAATCGCGGCTATCAAACTAAACAAAGACCGTCTGACGTATAAAAAAAGTGTCTATAAATAACAGTGACGTTCTTCTGTGCAGAAACTGGCTGAGTGCAGACACTAAGGACGAGAGGAATCTGTGGATGAAGAAGCTGAACCAGATCGTGGTGGATCTGCGTATGTGGCAACCGGACGCCTGTTACAGGCCACTGTAATCACCGCACTCTGCTTGGGCCTTTCATTGTCAGTGACGCATGCAATCACAAAGTGCAATACAGTATGCCAATTGTTAAATATTATCAGTGATCAGACACATAAGTTAAAGATCAGAGGTGTAGGTAAATAAAGCCATCGAGACATTTCGTATTTTGTGTAGGAGTCGGGGTTTGGCACTATTTTTTTACTACATTTCCACACTGGTTTGATATTCTAGTGTTTCTGGGTGTTGGTGAGTTGCCACATTTTTATATTAATGCCAATATTTAGTGTCCTCGACACGCAATGCATGGCTTTAAATTATTTGGTTTCAAGGCTGAAATCAATGTATATAAATGATGTTATAATTACAGATGAATACTGAGGCGCCACAGTTTTATCTCATTTTATCCTGCATGGCAGCACAGAACAATACTGAGACTTTTGGTAAGTTTTTACTTTATATGTTAGCTTTCATAACTTGCGGCAGGATTCACACGTTTTTCCATCGTCATGCAGTTGTACCCCAGCTTTCAATCTAGTTGTGATGTTAAGTGTTTGTGTCTTTGTTTCGGTGTGGAAGTTAGAGTTTTGGATAACCACGGATAAGGTCTGTTACATAGACTACGCTAGAACCTCACCAACATTGATTTTATGTAAATGCGTCACTAACATTTGTTACAGCTGTAAATCATCCGGAACATGTGTTACTGCAGCTTTGAATACCTCTTGGCATATATGCTGAAACCTATATATTTGTTTTACGATATTGGCCCGCTTATTTATGAGCCTGCCTTTACGCTGGATCTGTTTTTAAAACGGCTCATCTACGCATACGATCTTCAGTTTGAGCATCAGATTGGCATTTTTGGTGTATGTAGCAATGGTCGACATTGTTAATGGCTGCAAACACAGCGCTTTGAAAACAATACGGCGGGCTCATGTACCCTGTACATTCTGTCAAAGTACGGATATATTTATTTTAAAAGGAGACGGACTTGTTTATTTTTAGTTGTGCGTTAAGAGATTTTATCAAAAGTATGTGGCGTTGCAGCAGATGGTGCGATCACAAAACATTTTAAACTTCACATTTTCCCCTCACAATGTCTGCGTTGCTTATGTAACAGACCTCACAGTGACCCTGCAAGTGTTGGTAAATGTAATTTCAGTAGAAGTAAAAGTGCTTTTTCATCATGTTGCTGAAGAATACAACGTACACCAGATGTATTCTTTCTGCTTACCCTCTACATACCTTTTCATCATGACGAATATGAGGGAGCAGGAGATGTATAAGGGCTCTCAGCGGGTACTTTAGCACACTTCAGTTCTTCACTTTGTGCTTCTATGAGACTTCAATAAATGCCTGCTTTGACCAAAATGGACCAGGTTACTAATGCTGAAGTTCATTTTGTCATTTTATTGAAATGTAACATTAAATTGAGTCTAAAATATGTTTTAAGATCTGAGGTATTTTAATGTCTTTCATGTACTAGAAAATGAAAAAAAATGCTAGTTTTTAAGTCATAGTATAGTGTCATTATACAGTATGTCATAAAGATGTATGTCATAAAAATAGTCAGTGTATATATATTCGTGAAAATGTCATGGTAAAGTATGTTTAAAAAAAAAAAAAGTCAACATATAGTATAGTATGTCACTAACAATTCATGGTAGTATTTCATAAAAAGTCATCAAAGTATAATAAAGTGGTATGTCATGAAATAAGACAGAAGGTCGTAGTATAGGAAGTCATAAAATGTCAAGTCATAGCATAGTATGTAATAAAATACATTATAGAATATCATAAAATATATATATACTGTATATATATAGTTTTTCAAAAGTCAGTATATGTCATAAAAACAAAAAGTAGTAGTATAGTATTCCATGAAGTCATAGTATGTCATGAAAATTCATAAACAGCATTAAGTATCTCAAAAATTGACAAAAGTCAATTAAATGTCGTATAAACGTTATCTCTGAGTTTGCCTGAAAAGCTTGAAAAAAAAGTAGGGAGACCTTATGAGTTATGAATACGAATATTTATTTACAACATGATAATAAACAACACAAATTTGGAAGTCAGCAATCAGTCATAAGCATGTGTAAAAATGTCTGCAGTAATAAAAAAAACAAAGCAGCAATGGAGCGAGGAGCTCTGACTGAAGGTGGTAAGCATTTACATGGTGGTAAGCTTTTACATTCAGAAGCACACCGTGTCTCATGAAGCGGAGGACGACTCGGATTCTTTAAGACAAAGAAAAGCCAGCAAAGAGGACACGGGTCAACTTGTAGAGTGAAAGGGTCATCAGAGAGAGTACTACAACAGAAAGCCATACAAATATCAATAAGTCATATACAATGACTTTGTAATTATATTTTTACGTCGTCAAAAAACTTCATATATATCATAAAAGTATGATATTTAGTATGACATGAACAAGTTAACAGTTTATACTTTGTGGTAATGTAATGTTAATTCTGTACACATGACATCTATTGCATTTCTGGCCATCCTGGGAGACGGATCCCTCTGAAATTGCTCTCCCGAAGGGTTCTTCTCAACTTTCTGTTCTGTGAAAGTTTTTCTACTTTTCCAATGCGAAGGTTCCAGGACGGAGGATGTTGTATGCTGTACATATGGTGAAGCCATCTGAAGCAAATTTGTGATTTAGGATATTAGACAATACAAATAAAATTGAACTGAACCGAGTGGTATGTCATGTGTAATGGTACATTTTTACTCGGTATATTGTATTCATGCATAAGTAATTTTGCTTTGAACTTTGTTAAACTTCACCTTGTCTCTGTTGTGCAGAAGAAGAATCCACCCTTGCCTGCGCCTTAGATAACTGTATGAGAATGTTCCAGCACCAAGGCCGTCCTAACGCTTGTTTTGGTTGCTGGCCGTTTGTTTTTCATTGTTCCTATCAGTCTGAGACCAAAATGTCTGTAACATTGGCCATCGGCCCCCACCTCTGCTCCTTCTGTATAAAGAAAGTGTGTAGATCTCATAGTAGGTCCCGAACTCACCTACCATGTGCTTCCTCTGTGGTGGCAGGTTTGTGAAGCTCCTTACACACTGAAGAAGCTCTCCCCCATGACCACAAATAAAGAATATATATGCACACACTTCCTTGTCCCTTTTTTTTATAACTTTGTTTGGTGTTGAATTCAATAAAATGCTGTAAATGTAACTGTGTTGTGAGATCCTTTATCTAAGTGATAGTGAGTTAACACGAAGCTCCACTGCAGGCGTCACAATAATTGCTGCTAAAACAAAACACTTTAATACCAACACAAATATCTGGAGAACTCAAAGGTTAAGAGGAAGTACAGGAATCACATTCTATAGACATTTCATTATTCTTTAGGTGCAACACAAACAATGACAGAAATCTACTGATGTTTCTAAGTCCTACATGATATATAGTAGTAGATATATTCTTTGATAGAGCTCAGTTGCATCTTGACCAGTTTCGGCATAAGTTAACGTGTGATGACATTACTGACGCTATGAGCATTTTTTTTTTTCAAATAAACAAAATATATTTACACATTTAATGCTGGGAGAGTTTTCTAAATTTCTACGCAGCCAATATGAAACTCAGGCCTGAAAATCCTACTTCTCTCACTTTGTGATTGCAAATCTTTATCATTAATGTAGTTTATTGATTGCCACCATTTATAGTCTGGACATACAGTATACTTACTCTCCAAGTAACTGACCCTGTGTAACATCAGTGCCTCTTAAGCGATGCACAACAGAGATTTTTTT